TTGACCATCTCGCGCCCTACCTGTCAATCTCATCTCTTCTATCACTAGCCTCCACATGCACCACCCTCCGCTCCATCATCATGGATACCCCATACGTCTTCCGGTATATGGATTTGACAAAATGCCGTGGGGCTCAGCCACCGCCATCAACAGGTCCCATCGATCCAGGCGGCGAGACTTGGAGGACTCAACGCATGGATGAATCTTTGACTGAAGATGAGTTTTATGGAGGACCATTGAGGGGGATCTTTTCAGATTTGGGACGTAGGAATATCTTGCAGGATGTCAGAACTCTGGTCCTGGATGGTCTCTCTGTTCCTGCAGACCTAATTGCCGATATCATCCTGACAGACAAATTTAACGTAGTTATCCTGTCGATTAGGGACTGTCTCAACCTTAACGAACGGAAATTAATGCAGACTCTTCAATACGCTGTCAGACCTTCACGCGCCAAAGGTATGCCAAGAGTGAAAGGGATCTATCATTTCACTCCAATGGATGATGCCCAGACCGCCTTTCAGGACAGGCAGCACTCGGGCCCCTCTCAACCATACGGCTCCTCTGAACTTGATGACAATGCCAAGCATCAAGGTCGGATGACTTGGAGACATCCGTGGTACAAACCGACCGGAAGAGTGCTCAAGAAGCCAATCTCCACTGGATGGGCGCAGACATTACAGCTCTGCAACGGGATCATCTCCTTTGATGCGGTTTTGTGTCGAAGCCCACAACATCAGCCCTTGTTTACTGCAGCAGGCACCGCAGCAGGCAACGACATGCAACCCGTATCTTACTTCTCCCCAGCTATAGCAACTGTTGCCCTCGGGCCCAGCGGGTGTGAGGGTTGCCATTCCTCCCCAGAGGGTCCGGCAGTCTGGAATCATTCACCAAATCACCAGTTCCCGCTCTTGACGCCGCCACCAATGCACTCGTCCAGAGTCACCACCGCCAAGTCACCCGCTGGCTGCTCAAATGGTGAATATACTCTGATAATGCAGTGCCAAGATTGCCTGACCAACCGCTGGTGCCACCGGTGCGGCCGATGGTGGTGTTCCGCCTGTCTCCCCAACCCAGAAAAGCCAACACATCATCTCATGCTGCATCAAACAGCGTCACGGCCCACAGGCCCTTCTGAACAAAAGGTATATGACGGTCTCTGTATTGAATGCCATGCCATGACAGACCCGAAAAGCTGTCTCGTCGATCCATGATAATACGAAGTGACTTGCCATTGATTTGTGGTAGCACTTCTCCGTATGAAAATGGAGATGAAGAGTATGCTTTGCCTTTACCATAATTTGGATGTATATCTCAACAAATGTTAATGCTCTGATTCTTTTCCATATTGTCTTTCATCTTCCTACCACTAGACTACTACCCCACCCATATTCCCCCTCATTTAATACTAGAATTTTGCTAATAATTCATTGTAACAGCGCCTTTTAACTGATATCAGCAAAGATTGCTGGGAATGTGGTGCTACAGTACGTCCCTTCCTCCCCTCTCTCCCCCCCCAAGAATATTTTTGTAATATCCAGAAATCTAATCGTCCAATCTAATACCTTATCCAACAGTGCGGCGCTTGTAAAATAGAAGTTCAACGGATCTGCACAACCTGCCAGGGAGAGTATTGCCTCGAACACAATGACGGCTGCACCCCTAGCAAGGTACGTTATGTTGAATTTCTTTCTAGGCTGTGGTCCATTAGCTCTGCCCTATACTTACATGAGTTTCATACAGTGCGACTGGTGCAATACGAGCGCCCGCGGACAGAGAGCTCTACAATAGCATCCCGCAGGTTTGACATACAATATCTATAATATCTAGGCAGGTCAAAAAAAACGCTTAATCGCCACACAACGAAGTTTTAAACCAATATACTTTGTTTACCATCGGATAAACAGAGCACAAAACTTGACTATATACTAGCCCTTCTCAATCCACCGTTCTTAATGTCCATCAACAATTTTTCTTGCATTCTATTTCAGTCAACGGTCAAACAGGAAATGGGTTTTCCTCTCCGTTCATACCCCCTCTCCATCGCCACTCTCATACAGCCAGGCCAGGTCTCGATCATTATTCACATCAATACGCACCCTGAACCTTTTTTAATTACATTCTTCTCTTCTCTGCATTATACCACATTTAATCTTTTTTTCCCCTTTTAGGTTTTCACGTCTTCCACTCTATTAATAACTCTTCACATAAAGGTTGTGAATGTTTCACACTGACATGAATTTAATCTTTTTGACCTTGTGATGGCGAGGCGCTCTTTAGATCTCTCAGTGAGCGGTTTTCTGGTTTCCTAGGCTCTTATCTCTCCTGTTCTATTTATCTCTGTTTGGGGTTATATTTTGGGCTGCGGGGAATTTCGGTTCGGTATAGATTTATATCTGCTAATATGGAGATTAGCTATGGAGCAACACTAATCTCAATTCAAACTTCAGCAACATAGCAGCACTCGCATAACTGATTTTATTTGGATGAATTGCAACTCATTGGTTTTGATTTTTTGAATTTTTTTTTCTGGTATTGTCAGAAATAAAGCTCACAAAAGGAGCTCTCCTATTGATTTAACTTGACATTCCGTTTGCCTTGTGCTCTGTCTCCGTTCTCTTCTCCTCTCCCCTCACACACCTCTCATCTACTTTCCATTCCTGCTATATGTGGCACAGCGACAATCTGGGACTCTGGACAAAAATAACAAGGAGAGTGAGAAAACGCAAAAAGAATTTACTACATTCAAAGCTAACGGAAGGTTTGTCAAGCAAACAGCCGTATCAAATTTCTCTTTCAGTCCAAAATCCTCCCAATCACTGTCATTCCAGAATCCTTATCCATACAATAGATGACCAGCCGGAGACGAAATAGAAGAACAGCAAAGCAAGAATTAGATTTAGCCCAAAAATGGTTTTGAGAGTCTACAGTGTTTGACGTGATTTGTAAAGGAGTTGGTTTCTCTTTATACCGTTGAAGATGAGATTGACCACCGGATGGCAGGATATCGTTCGCTCGATTTACACCTAGTAAACAGAGGTGAATACAGATGTTGAGATATTACTCTGCCTTTCTCGTGTCCCAGATGTTGTTGAGAGGCTGTTAGAAAAAGAAAAGAAAAAAAAAATATAGACTCGCAAATCCGGGCCTTATGCAAACAGCCTGGTGAAGCATTGTCAAAAGAACGGATGTATGTTCTAAAACAGCAGATTCACTCTGGTTCTGGAATGACATACTCATCCCATTTGGCCTCATCCCAGCGAAATGGTCGGGAACATTTAATGCCTAGATGTTAATTGCATATTGTTAGCACATAGTTTGACTTCAAAAAGATGTGCATGATGCTTGTGAAGAGGGGGACTCCATACAAAACATATTTGGGCATCCTCCACTTTTCTGAATTCGCCACCCACATCCTGGATTCGGGCACTTTTTAGTCATTCTTTTGATTCGATCCTCGCTACTTCGCACACTCTGGGCGTTCGGGTGGCTGTCGTCATACTGACCACAGGTATATTTGGTGTGCCACGGGATGCCATGTAGGAAGCAACTACAAGCTCCGCATTTGATGCATACCACTTTGTCAGACTGCGCGCCTTCCGGAAATATTTGGCCCGACGAGCAGGTAATGGACAGACACCAAGCCCAGCGTGGGTGGGATTCAAGTTCCTTGCGAGAAGCGATTCCAGTAATGATAGCATTTTCCGAGCGGCTCAGGGCCGATCGTATCTCAGACTCTGTAAGGGTCATGTTGCATTGTGGACAGGTACATATGGACCAGTCAATTACTCCTTTGCCTGCTACCTGGATGTGGTTAATGGGGGCCCGTGTTTTCAACGTTATGATGGTGTGCTTTGACACGCAATCTGAGCATGTCTGTGGGCCATGTGCGCATCGGGGGAAAGTGGGGAAATTCGCCCCTTTCCATCCCAAGGGTTTCAATTCAGCGCAGATGACACATTCCCGGAATGCATCACTTCGATCCTTTTTCCGGGTGTGAGTTGGGAGTTTGTTGGGGGGAGAAACCTTCGTTGGTTGATTGCAGGTTACGTCCATCATTGGGCTTGGAGTCACGATGGCTGCAGGAGCTGAAAGTCCAGGTGGGTTTGCAGAGCTGAGAGCATTTGTATTTCGTATTAATTTAAAGACAGTATTTCCTAAAGGAAGGTTTGGGGCAGCAGCTATATTTGCACTTGGAAAGGGCATATCTCGGGCTTTGTTAGCTATTGTTTTCCGAGGAGTAGGAACCCCTGATTTGCGGCGGTATGTCACACCCATCCTGTAGAAAGGATCGTGGGGGAATAAAGGTCCAATGGGATGGGGAGAACACAAACACAAAGAGACTATCAGAAAAGAAGATGCATAAATCTTAAATTTGATCTTCAGATAAATTCTTGAAAAGTTACCACCTCAGGAGAGAGAACTCCTTGGAGAATAGGGGTTGATGCCAATAGCCTTGGTTGGAGAGTGTCTCAACTTGGATGAGTGAAAGGAACATGAGAAGATGAAGATGAAGAGAAAGGGAAAGATGAGATGAACGAGAAGTTATATGATATCCTTTGCGCTTGTTGAAGAGCAATAAAATAGGCAGCAGAACACGTGACCGGGTAGGGATACTTCATTGCGCCAGGGAGGATAGCAGCCTGGAACTGCGGGTCCGTATGAATTATTATTAGTAACTGAAGGTTCCAACGGTGAAACTAGAAGAAGGCTTCTCTCTCGTTGTTGGCTTCGTCTCATCGGGTCTGGTGCCCCTGTTAATGGTCACCTAAAGCTCCTCGAGAGACTACGTACTCTGTTATAAAGTGATAGGAACTTATATGTACCAGCATGAGAAGTAGGACAGCTTCAATGCATTGATTTGGTAAAAGCGATGCGATTAGTGGAGAGAACAAGTATACAAAGACAGGGCTCATAGTCTCGTCATCCAAGTCAAAAGCGTGGTCGATCGAATCTGTATTCAACGCAACCGCGGTGAAGAAAGAAGCTTTAAGTCAAATCTTAATCTGATATTCACGTGGAGATAAGATTGATCTGATAAGATTATCCGAACAACCCTCTCGTAGGTTCCAGAAGAGTGTTGATCACTCCTCCAGTTCATTTATCTTCAACATCTTCAACATGTTCCTACATAAATATAAATGTATATCACTTACCTTCTCGCTTTTTCAACGGCTGTGATAAGGTGATGAGATGAAAAGCAGCAGTGTATTCTAAATAGGTACATTACATACTGATTCATTATATATGTCATGGCCACAGATTCAGATACGCTCAGATGGACTGCGCAGTTTGTGGTAACACCCCTTACAAGAACAAAACAGCTGCCCGGCGACAAAATTATTCTTCCTCCCTCTGCTCTTGAGCAGCTACTGGCTGCTGCTCCAATCTCCTCCACATCCCCGGCGCAAAACAATTCCTTGACCCCACAATTTGATCCCTTTAATCCCCACACTTTTGTCGCTGAGCGTCGAGCTAGAGAGTTGGCTGCAGAGAGACAGCATCGGCTCCCACAGCCCTTAACTTTTCGCATAGTCAATCCCTCGAACGGCCGGATTGTGCATGCTGGTATCCGCGAGTTTTCTGCCCAAGAAAATGAAGTTGGCTTGAGTGCCTTTCTCCGCGAGAGCTTGGGTCTTGAGGATGTTGATTTCCAGCCAGCGGCGGCGGCGGACACTTCACAGGAAGATTCGCTGTCTAATACGGACATAGCAGAATCTGGGGGTGGAGGTAGAGCGACGATACCCAGTGGCCCTCTTGTCACTATTCATGCGAAGCAGCTACCTAAGGGTTCCTATGTTCGCCTGCGTCCCCTCGAGGCGGGATATGATCCCGAGGATTGGAAAGCGCTTCTGGAACGATACCTGCGTGACAACTTTACGACTTTGACCCTTGGAGAGTTTCTGCTAGTTCCCGTAGGGCGGAATGAAACCTTTCGGTTTTTGGTTGATAAAATGGAACCGCAGGGTGACGGTATATGCATCGTGGATACCGATCTAGAAGTGGATATCGAAGCATTGAATGAAGAGCAGGCACGAGAAACGCTGAAAAGGCGGTTGGAGAAAACTTCTCGCGCTCCAGGAACAAAGGAGGGAAACTCTATTGGTGGAAGCCTTGCGCAGGGACAAGAGGTCAGCGGCCAAGTGTTACCAGGAGACTACGTCGACTACCAACTAAATGACTGGGATCACGAACATGCATTAGATATTGAGATTGATGTAGCAGATGATGCAGACGTGGACCTCTTTATAAGCCCCTTTTCAGCAAGACAAAGAAACCGACCTAGGGATGACGAACATGTGTTTGGTGATTTTTCAAGTGTCTCCCTGAAGCGAATATGCTTACAACCTACGAATATTGAGCTTCAAGACGCCGAAGCCATTTACATCTCCGTGCATGGCTATTCAGAAAGCACAATGTCTGGTGCCGATAATAAATCGAAAGCCGCAACTCCACTGAAATTCAGCCTCCACACAACGAGCGTTCCAGCAGGGGGTCAAACCGAATTACACGCTCCCACAGAGGATAGTGAACGGGACCCAGATGAGACGCAATGTAAGAACTGCCATCAGTGGATACCAAAACAAACCCTTTTCCTGCACGAAAATTTCTGTCTCCGCAACAACATCCTCTGCCCCAAGTGCGAAAACGTTATTCAGAAACGGTCCTCTAAATGGGAAAACCACTGGCACTGTCCCCACGACTCCTCTCACGGCAACGACCCATCCAGCCATGCAAAACACAACAGAATTTTCCACACCCCCCACCAGTGCCCAAACTGCCCCTTCATA